TTGTTCCATGTCCAGTTCTAACTGTTGCTTCCTGACCTGCATATAGGTTTCTCAAGAGGCAGGTCAGGTGGTCTGGTATTCCCATCTCTTTCAGAATTTTCCACAGTTTATTGTGATCCACACAGTCAAAGGCTTTGGCATGGTCAATAAAGCAGAAATAGATGTTTTTCTGGAACTCTCTTGCTTCTTCAATGATCCAGCAGATGTTGGCAATTTGATTTACTGCTTAGCCCCCACCATATAATTATGAAGCAAATCTAAGATATTATTTAGATGAGTCAGATCTCCATGGTTTAAAGAATTGGATACATATATATATATATATAAGGCGGAGTCCCTTTCCTATTCACCTAAAACTATCACAGCATTGTTTATCGGATGTGAAAGTGAAAGTCTTAGCTGCTCAATCATGTCTGACTCTCTGCGACCCCATGGACTGTAGCCCGAGAGGCTCCTCTGTGTATGGAATTCTCCAGGCAAGAATACTAGAGTGTGTTGCCATTCCATTCTCCAGGGGATCTTCCCAAACCTGAGATGGAGCCTGGGTCTCCTGCTTTGCAGGCAGATTCTTTACCATCTGAGCCACCAGGAAATACCTCAATACAAAATAAAAAGTTTTTTAAACAGGATCATATCCCTATGATATAATAATAATGGGAAAACACTATTATTTAATAAAGAGGCAAAAATATAGAGAGGGCTTTCCTTGTGGCTCAAGATTCTGGTAAAGAATCTGCCTGCAATGCAGGAGATCTGGGTTTGATCCCTAGGTTGGGAAGATCCCCTGGAGAAGGGAAAAGCTACCCACTCCAGTATTCTGGCCTAGAGAATTCCATGGACTGTATAGTCCATGGTGTCGCAAAGAGCTGGACACGACTGAGCAGCTTTCACTTTCACTTTTTCAAAAATATAAAGAAGTACAATACTTTGGTTTTTATTACAAAGGAAGAATTAGATTCTTGAGAATATAGAGTGATTTTGATGTAGGTTTCAAGATAAAATGGGTTGTTTTTTTTTCTCAGATCATGGACAAAATGTAGTGGTAATCCTAGACATTTCAACATGCTAAGAATAAGGATTACTCTATTGATTTCATTTCCTTATTCATTTATTCAAATTCCATCCATTTTATAAATGAATTAAGTCAGCTTATTTCCCTTTTTAATAAGGTTACTAAACTGCTTGCTCTGGAAAATACCACAAGATAAAAATGAACCTTAACTTCAGCAAATACTGAAAAAAGTCTCAGGTTGTACGTGCATTGGGGAAGTGTGAGCTGTATCGCCATACAATTATGTAGATGCGTAGGTGGAGTTGAGACCATATCTGGAGGAATAAGTAATGGATCCATCAACTTGGAGGACAGCCTCCAATTATATTTTGGAAGACTCTGTGGCCCTGGACAGCTGTTTGATTTTAGACAATGGCTTGGACACAGAAGACATGTGACTACACCCAAGGTAGGCTATGAGTTTATAGACTTTGAAGGAAAGACCACACATGTCAAAGTGAATTGAGTTCATGGTTTATTGGGCCAGCAAATTGTCTATGTCCATAATGTCTTCTTTAAAGGATTATTTACAGATACTGAGATTCTCTTAATTGTTGAAACAAACTGAGCATTGCTAAAAGTACAGCTTCACCCTGGGGAAAAAGACAGATTTAATGCTCATGTATCTCTGATTGTCTCTGTGTCTCTGCTTATCCTGTATTCTAGAGAGTTCATTTCCCACATGAGCCTCTCAGATTGACAGATGACATGAAACTAGGAAGGTCCTTTGAAATGCCAGTGGCATAATAAAAATATAAGTATCATAAGGGTTAGAAATATGAGCTTAAAAAGTAAAAGAAACTAAGCAGATTAAATGTGAAGTCCTACCTTTAGCCCCCAAATAAGCATTTAAACAGAAAAGATATGACTTAATAGAAGTGCTTATGATTTCAAAAGCCAGTTTTAATGAACTTCTAGCTTAAAAGAGCCAGAAGAATAAACCACCTATGGAAAAAAATGGCATCAGTTACTTCCCTTATCAGTAGTGGTAACAATTGCTTTCTGTCCATTCCACGCAGGTAGGCAACAGCTGTGGCATTTGGGCCAATTTTGAGCTTCCCTGGGGGCCCAGACAGTAAAGAATCTGCCTGCAACATGGGAGACCTGGGCTCGATCCCTTAGTCAGGAAGACCCCCTGGAAAAGGGAATCGGTACCCACTCAAGTATTCTTGCCTGGAAAATTCCATGGATAGAGGAGCCTGGTGGGCCACAGTCCACCGAGTCACAAAGAGTCAGAAAAAAAACTGAGTGACTAACACTTTCACTTCTACTTTTCACTTTGGGTTAACTTCATATATCTCATTTCAAGGAGATATTAGTCAGACAGAACAGGATCACTGGAATGGGTAAGGGTCTCAAGTCCATGTCTGATGATAATAACAATAATAGCAACATCCATATATTGATTCCCATTGTATGCCACTCTCTGGGTAGACATTGCACTTGAAATGGCTTTGGACTTGGACTCTTCAACCCGAAAGTCTCAAGGAGACGCTACCCCTGCCCCCACCACCTAAACTTTAAACTCTGTGATGACAAGAACTTTTGTACATAATCTCCAGATGCTAATGATGATCACAATAGCTGCTTCCCAATCTTTGAAAAATAAATTTTGTTAAGTGGCAGGGAGAAAAGATGATATGGTTTCAGAAGGGAAATCAGATGAAATGGATTGAAGTTACAGGGAGGCAAATGAGAGCCCAAATATAAAGAAGAAATGTCTATCACTTATTGGTGCTCAGCAGTGACACCGAAAACCTTATAAGGATGTCCATTTGCTGTTAAGTGCTCACTAGGTACCAGCTACAGAGGTTACCAGCTGGTAAAAGTTGATGCTATTCTCATTTTATATGTGAAGAAATCGGAAGACAAGTAAAAACTTCTCAAAGTTCATACAACTAGGAAGAGAAAGATTAGGGTTACTAAATATATAGCTCATATATTTTCACTAAGTTTTAAAATTATCCCTTTCATTGCAAGTAATCTTTTATGGCCATTGGCTAAATGTCCATCTATTGAGAACATATTTAGGCAATTTTCTGCATTGGGTGAAGGTAAGTCCTCCCTCTTTGATCCTTCAGGCATTCAGTATCAATGAGTCTGTTCGTCAGTAATATACTCTCATAAGATTGAATGTTAGTGAACTGCCTCATAAAACCATGGAGTAATAGGTGATGTTGCTTAGTCACTAAGTCATGTCCAACTCTTTGTGACCCCACAGACTGTAGCCCGCCAAGTTCCTCTGCCCATGGGATTTCCCAGGCAACAGTACTAGAGTGAGTTGCCGTTTTCTTCTCCAGAGGATCTCCCCGATCCAAAGATGGAACCTGAGTCTCCTGTTATTTATAAATAAGTAAAGTTAAAAAAATCCTGCATACCAAATGGTGCAGCCAAAAAAAATTTTTTTAATATATCAAAGTAGAGCCATGTGCCTTGATATCTGTTATGAATATAAGCATGGGCTTGAAAGAAGCAAAACATTTAGAAGTAGCAAACAGACATTAGTTGAACATCTGCTCTGTTCTAGAGACAGTCTAGAAATTAGCCCCTTTGGAGGAGTGTGGGAGGATGGCCAGGAACTCAGGTGTTGATGTAACAAGCAGCCCGTCTACAAGGGCTGATGAGGAGACCAGCTGAAGCCCAGCAGAGGTTTGGGGGCAGAGTGGTGGGGAATGTTGTGGGGAAGGTAGGAAGGAAAGAGGCCTGCAGTGGGGCTTGGATTCCGGGCAGAACTTTCAGCCCTGGTGCTGTGGGCATCGGGAGCCATGCTGGATTCTTGACCTTGAGTAAAGAAGTGGGCTAAAGAAAGCAGTTCAAAGAACATGCTATGTCAGGGAGGAACTGGAGGCCACAGTGGCAGAAAGAATAGTGCTTATCTTTATTTTTTTAATTTTTTCTTTATTTTTTAAAATTTATTTTAATTGGTTTACAATACTGTGCTAATTTCTACTGTATGGCAAAGTAACTCAGTTATACATATACATACATTCTTTTCCATTATGACTTATCACAGGATATTGAATATAGTTCCTCGTGCTGTGCAATAGGACCTTCTGTTTATCCATGCTATATATATACTAGTTTGCATCTGCTATTCCCAAACTCCCAACTGATCCCTCCCTCACCCCGCTCCCTTGGCAACCACAAGTCTACAACCGTGGTTGTTTTTAGAAAGGAGACTCCTCTGAGGTTGACAGGAAGCTTTGTAGGATAGACACGAGTAACAATAATGATGTACATAATGTGTACCAAGCAGTGTCCCCAGTGTCTTAGATTGATAGACACTCATTTATCCTTCAACAGTCCATGAAGTAAGTAGTAGTATTATCGTCAATCCCATTTCCCAGATGAGAAAACTGAGGCTTCTAAAAGCAATTGGCCTGAAGGAACCAAGAGCAGATGTCCAGCGTTCAGCCTGTGCTCACCTCCCAGCTGTACTCTAATTACAGATTACAGTGCATTTAAAATCATCATTTGATAATATTACTATCTGGAGTCATCTAGCAGTTTAAGCCGACTGTTCTCAGAAGTGGCAGACACCACAGGACTGAGCTTGTGTTCCTTAACCCAGGGACAGGATTGACAACCTGATGTCCCAGAACCTGAGGCATACGGGACAGACCTCAGGTCTTAAATTTCTATCCTAGTAAAGATGAAAGTCAAATTGCATGTGTCGGTTAGGTTTGTAGTTATTTCATTTATGACCATGATCACTTCCTTTCCACAAGCAAGCAGACCACATGTGTGCCTTTTATCTACCCCCAGGGGCTCAAGACCTGGATCGTATCCGACTCTCCACCTATAGAACAGCATGCAAGTTGAGGTTTGTTCAGAAGAAATGCAATTGTAAGTATGCCAGTTCCTTAGGCCAGCTACCCCCATGAATCCTATAGTTCACATCTGTTACTTGGGCTACCTAGCCCGGTGAATCCCATAGTTCACATCTATTACTTGGTTTATTAAAAGTAGGCTTTCTTGCAAGTATGAATAAAAAATATATATGTTTATACAACAATAAGAGAGTATGATACACAAATGGTAGAAAGACTTTTCCCAAACAATTCTGAAGGCTAAATGACTCAACTGCTGAAGCATTGGAATGGATGAACCTCTGGATATGTATCCTGCCCTTGGAATGGTTTAAATCCAGATGGATGGGTTTTCTTCTTTTCTCTAACTTTGGTATTGTAAGCTCCAAGCCCTCCAAATGGCTTCCAAAAACTTTAGAAAATATCCAATATTAAGCCCTCCATGTTGTCTTTACAAATATAGGGAAATGTTTACAAGCTCCTGGAAAACATTCAAGTTTCTTTCTGAAACTACAAAAATGAGTCCTTTGTATCAGAACATTAACTACTTTTGCTTACATCAGACCATAGCAAAAGAAGAGACAATGATACTTAAAGAAACAAACTTGCTTCAACTTTTTCCCAAATTTTAACATGTAGCAGCAAGCTGGCTCATCCATCAGTGAGCAGTTTCACTTTCCATGCCAGGAGTACTTCCATCAGATTATCACATTCATTTTCTCTTGAAAAATAGAGTGTTTCCAAGTTCACGTGTAGGAACTTACTCTCTTCTTTTTTGAAAACCAACTGCCATAAAATTAATAACTGTTCTCATTTTCTAGTTAGTATTGGATGAATTTTAAAAATGAAAACCATAATGTTCTCCTGCACACATAGACATAGTTCTTGAATACCTAGCATGGGCATTAGGCACTTGGCGAATGTGGAAACCAGCCGCCTTTACATCTCTGCTCTCCCAGGATCTCTAGCAAAATGCTTCTTGTGGCCCTGGGGGGACCACCTCCAGCCCCAGGCTTCTCAGTTTACAGCTACAGGAATGCACCGGGGACATCTACTCCTCAGCTTGCTCATCTGCAGCTTCTTCCCCAGCACTAGTAGCTAGAAATGGGGCTGAAATTTGGGTCAGGACAAGAAGGAAGAAAAAACCAACTGGGTCAAATATCAAAGATGTGTTTTAGCTTGTGCATGCATGCATGCTCAGTCATGTCTGACTCTTCTGCAACCCCATGGACTATAGCCCGCCAGGCTCCTCTGTTCATGGGATTTCCCAGGCAAGAATACTGGAGTGGTTTGCCATTTCCTCCTCCAGGGAATCTTCCCGACCCAGGGATCGGACCCATGTCTCCTGCATCTCTGCCTTGGCAGACTCATCACAGGAAGCTAAACCAGTTCCCCAAGATGCAACAGAAGAACACTGCAGATGCAGGAAGGAACCTGGGATTGTGCTTGCGGTCCCGCATGTTGATAAGTCATAAAAGCCCTTTCGGGGACTGGTGTTAAAGGACCAAGAAAATGCTCCCACAAGAAAGCTTCCCCTCCCCCCTCAACCCCATCACCCACATGTAAACAAAAGGAAGAATCTCTGTGTTTTCAGCAGTGAAAGTGATGGAACCCTCTCCCTTTTTCCCTCGTTACCACTCCAGTGGCCCTCAGTGTAGACGGCGTTCTGTTCTCATAAACCTTTGCTGTGCAGAGCCTTCCTTAGGCTGCTTTCAGTAGAGATGGGGAACTCTACTGGTGGTTCGGGCGAGAGGTGATCGGGGACCTCCACTAAGAAAGAAAGCGGCAGGATCAACATATATTTTAGAAAATAAATTGTCAGGTATTGAAGAAGAGTAAGGAAGTGTTGTGTATTGCCTTGGGTGTTATTAAATGTTTTTGGTGTGCTTATTTTCTCTCATTCACCAATTTCAGAGCTCTTCAGAGTAGGGTCAATTTTTTATATGTACTCTATGTTTTACTTAAGTTTCTAAGTAAAGACTAATGTTCAATAAATATTTCTCCTTGCCCATTTTGTATAAAATAAGCTATGAAATACTTTGCTGAAATTATATTAGATGCCAGAATAAAATATCTTGAGTGCTTTCAAAAAAATTTTAAAAAGACAGTACAAAATGGTAAGGATGAACAAATACATAGCTAATTAAATAAATAAGGAAAAGTGAGAAAGGAAGGAAGAGAGGGAGGGAAGAAGGAAGGAAAAGTAAAGAAAAAATGACCCACATTGATTAGGCAACCCTGCAGCCAGCATTACAAAGGGTACACACCGTTGGCCCTAACTGGATCCAGCAAACCACAGGCTGTGTCTCATTCCTCCTACTCTCTGATAAAGGCCCTTCTCCCTTTTGGGTACCTCCTTTTCCATTTCCTGCTCCCCTCATCCTTACTCCACATCCTGAATTATGTCATAACGTCACTGACTCTTTTGGAAAACAGTGGGGGAAACGGTGTTGATCCATCCCTGTCTATCCCTCTGTGAATCCATTCCCTTACCCCTTAATTTAGGAAGCTTATAACGAACCCCTACTAAAGGTCTGGCACCACTCTAGGTACCAGGAATAAAGCTGGAGTGAATGAGATGTGATCCCTGCCTTAAAGTTGCCCAAAGTCTAATTGGGTAGACGGATTTTTACAGAGACAAACACCACCATGTAGAAGTGTAATAAGGGCAGAGTGTGCGTGGGAGCACCAAGAAGGCAGAGCCCAGACCTAGGTGTGAGGGCTGCTGACGGGAGTTTTCCTGGAGCAGGAGACACTGGGCTGAGTCTTGAAGAATGAATAGACATCACACAAGGAAGTGTTATTTGCTTTGCAAGGTACCTTATCAACTTCATACGCTTTAGAGAAAGGAAAGATATTACATTCTATACAAACTACACAAAACTAAGGCTCAAAGGGAAAAAAATAAGCATATACTGAGCGCTCTGCTAAAATTAAGTTTCATTTTAAAGTTGTTTCTACCTGTATCAGAAGTCTTACCTGCAAGCACTATGTGTGTTAGCTGAGTTTTCCTTCCTGACAAAGAATATAAGAGCTGCATTGAGGTACATGTAAAATGCTCACACAATTGGGCTTGGTTTGTCTTCATCAAAGTTGAAGTCTTCCTTTTAGGAAGATAACCAGCAACACTGATGTATGTGATGTATTAGTCAGCATTGAATATATACCCCTCTATTAGAGGAACATATTTTCTGTCTGCCATACAACCTAACCCACAATGCATTATGGTACCTGGTATACTCTACAATAAAACAAATAAGAAAAAAATCCAGGAAGTGTGCTTTTAAGGGCATCACTTTATTGAAAACTCTTACACTGTATTTATTCATGGAAATCAATAGGCCTTAACTGAGAACAGGGTGTTTATTTTTAGGCCCAGACCTTATTTACAGTTAAAATTTATTTTGTATATTAACAAAACTAAGCTTTAAAACTACATAATGGAAGAAAAATGTAAAAACTGACACAAAGTCATCACCTAGAAAAAATATTTCTGGGTGTAACATGGGGTATATAGATTTTTAGATTTCTTTTTTGTCTAAATTTAAAGATCAAAAGAGCTAGTTAATTTCCCCATATTTCCTTCCCCATAGCCCTTGCCTACTCTGTTGCTAAAGTATTGATTCCTATCACTGACATTCATGTTCATTCTGTTTAATACAGTTACTGATGGATGCTGAGAATAGCTCATTGCCCCTGTTCTGAAAAACTCCAAAAGAGAGGCCAGAAAACTGTGGCCTGTGGTCTGAATGTGGCTCAGCATCTATTTTGTATCAACCATGAACTAAGAATAGTTTTCACAGATGAGTATTTGATAATAGGGAACACTGATTCACAACCCCGACAAAGGAAAATATTATCCTCCCAAAATAATTCCATTCTTCTCGTTGTTTAAAAATTGGACTCAAGGCTTCTTTGGTTGTCCAGTAATTAAGACTTCCCTTCCAATGTAGGGGGTGCAGGTTCAATCCCTGGACAGGGAGCTAAGATCTCACATGCCCTGTGGGCACAAAACTAAAATGTAAAACAGAAGTAATACTGTAATGAATTCAATAAAGACTTTAAAAAATAGTCCATATCAAAAAAACAAAAGCCTTTGAAACAGTGGACTCAATTACTATATTTTTAACTTCACAAGTAAAAATGTGGAAACTTGTTTTCTCTACTTAATATCTACACAGTATTACTATATAACACAGTGGTGCCTCTTGGTCCACAAAAAAAAAAAAAAAAAAAAAAAATTTACTAACCTCTGCTAGAAGAAAAGAATTGTAAGAAGCCCACTTTTAGCAGACTTGCTGATATAAGGAACAAACTAGTGGTTATCAGTGGGAAAGGGAAAGGGGAGAAGGGCAGTAAAAGGTTAAGAGGGTAAGAGATACAAACTATTAGGTGTCAAATAAGCTGCAAATAAAATAAGCTTCAAGCTACATTGTACAACACCGGGAACGCAGCCAGTATTTTATAATAACTCTAGATGGACTGTGTGCTCAGTCACTTCAGTCATGTCTGACTCTTTGCAACCCTGTGGACTGTAGCCTGCCAGGCTTCTCTGTCCCTGGGATTCTCCAGGCAAGAATACTGGAGTGGGTTGCCATGCACTCCTCCAGATTATCTTCCTGACCCAGGGATCGAACCTGCGTCTCTGTCCTGCATTGTAGGAGGATTCTTTACCACTGAGCCACCAGGGAAGCCCATAGATGGGGTGAAAGGGAAAGTGAAGCCGCTCAGTCATGTCCGACTCTTTGCGACCCCGTGGACTGCAGCCTACTCCTCCATCCCTGGGATCCTCCAGGCAAGAATACTGCAGTGGGTTGCCATTTCCTTCTCCAAGGGATCTTCCCAACCCAGGGATCGAACCCGGGTCTCCAGCATTGCAGGCAGACGCTTTAACCTCTGAGCCACCTGTGAATCACTCTATTGTACACTTGCAACTTATACTGCAGTTATAGTTCAAATTTTTTAAAAAATGATTTTTTTTTCAGGCAAAGCTTATTTCCTTCAAATTTCTCCATAGGCTCTATTTTCCAACTCTGC